CCCCCGCTCACGTGAGCTCTGTCTCTGTCTCTCAAAAGTGAATAAATGTTAAAAAAAAATTTTTTTTTTTTTTAAAGAAATGAATGCTGGAGAGTCCTTCCCTAAATCCTAACCCTCAAAATCATAACCAAAATAAAAATCAGTGGTTTTCAGATGGGAATAGGGCAGTACCTCACTCATGAGGTTATCGTGGGGATCAAATATTTAATGCACGTAAAGCCCTTAGCTCAGTGCCCGGTGTACAGTAAGTGTTTGATAAACGGTAATTATTATTTTTAACGTGTCAAGTAGCAAAACGGAAAGTTCTGTGTAACACCTGCCTAGGGAAGCAACTTTTCGCGAGATGCAGTTTTGTGACAACATTCCACAGTCACATAATGTAAAATGACCTACATAAACAGAGTCCTTGGCACGTCGCCTGTCTTCCTATTTTTCTTGGACACCTGTCAGTCACCTCCAACGGCCCCCAAGGTGCATGCGGTAAGGTGTCCACACGCACGCACATACACGTCGTGTATCTAGAGATAATCATAGAGTGTCAGGCCAGGCCCATCCGTCTCTGGGCAGAGTCCAAAGGGGAGGTCCTGGAGAAAGGTCTGCTGCTGTACTCGTGCCCGACTCACCCCTGATAAGTGTCCCGGCAGCTGTAATGGAGTGAGTCACAGGCACGGGGAAGGAGGAGGTTTAAGAGGAAGAAAAAGAACACAGGCGGGGTTTCTACCACTTACACCCCCAGAAAGTTACCCTTCTGCACATATCTCTGTGCATTCTGGAAGCTGAACATGATTGCTTTCCTTGCAATTCTTGTTTTCCTATGCACATGCTTTAATACTCTCCATGTTTATCTATCCATTCGGCCAATGTTGCCCGAGTGCCCACCAAGTGCAGAGCGCCGCACAAGGTGTGGGCGTTCTGCGAACCTTCCATCGGTCAGGGTAAAGCATGCTGATGACTTTCCTGACAGTGGTGCCGGCACTCTGCGGGCAAACAAACGGCTGGATCCTTGGGACCATAATGGAGCCTTTTCCCACCATTTAGTCTCTCTATTTCTTCTCACTCTCTGGAGGACACGGCCACCAACAAATCCTTTCCAGTTAAAAGAGCCCATTCCCTCCCGGAGCAACCCTCCTGCTTTCTGACAGTCCCTGCATCTCCCCCAGGCGACGCCGGGATCAGTGCACCAGCACTTCAGAGAGGCCCTCACACTGGATTGCAGGCGGCGCTTTCTAAAAAAAAAAAAAGAAAGAAAAAAAAAAACCCCACCAGAGCCGTGATTCTGAGTTGGAGAGGAGGGGGGACCAGGAGTCAGCGCTGGGATTTGACGCACCATACAATGCACCAAGGATCAGAGCCGGGAGACAAATTCAGCTCCAGAGATGAAAAATCTTCTTTCGGTGCTGACAACATCTGTTTTATTTTGAAGGTTGCTAAGGAGAGTTCTAGCTGGGCCAACATTGTTCCAGTTCAGTACTTCATAGTGAGACTCTCGCACAGGGCTCAGACGGCAGGAATAAAAGCTCGCCAGATAAACCCTGCTCCTTTTACTGTGCGGATATCAAAGAATCACTTTGCTACCAGGGATGATTAACACCCTGCCTGGTCTCGCTCTGAATCGGCCATACCTTCTGCTCACACTCTTATTCCTCGTCCCCTCCCTGCCCCCTCTGTTCCCCACTTGCCGGCTCCCCCTCTCTGCCAATAAATTAGGAAGAAACAGACAGTGAACGTGCCACTGACCCGGGAGACTTTTGACACTGAGACGAGGAAGAGCTAAGTGTGGGATGGGGGTCATGGTGGGAGGGTACTTAGCATCAGACAATGGAGGAAATGATTTCCTGGCCTTTACAGATCTGGTTTACCTACTAACAATCACAGCAGAGCCCAATGCCTGCATCAAGGCTCAGAACAGCCATGGGATGGCGGAGAGATCAAGCTCAAAACAGAAGAGTCTGACAAGTGGGCCCGTCCCCACCTGTGTAATGGTGCACCCCGATCTCCGCTCGTCCCCGATCCTGCTTAAGCTTCTTTGTAATTAATTATAAGAGAGGAACAAAAATGAGGAAAGTCAGCCCTGGGTGGGGGCAAGCGTGTAGGGAAACAAGGGCCGGGGGAGATGAGAATGGCAAAAAAAAGACGAGGGCACGACAATTTCACCTACGTGCGGAGTTGTTATAAAGTGAGGGTCCAGGTGGTCAACAGGTGAGAACCGCCCTGCTCCTCCAGCGGGGACTGGCAGCCAGTGAGAGGGCCCACCAGAAGAGCCTGGGGAGCAGGGAGGCCCCTGCACTGAACTGGCAGCTGCAAATAAAATCATTTGGGGATTCCAGGGCATTCAGCAAAAAAAAAAAAAAAAAAAAATGCATTCCATTAACTGAAGGAATTCTCTTTCTGCTCTGGGCTTTAGGAAGGCACCAGCTCCTGCCAGTGAGCACCTCAGAGTATAGGAAAAGGAAAGGGAGAATGGCAGTGCTCTCGCTCCAACAAAGATCCATTTCAAAGAGCCCTTCGGAGGGGCCGACCCTGCAAATCTTGACAACAAAAGGAAACTATATCCTCTCAAATGAGGGTATTGAGACAACCGAGGCCACATTATCCAAACATTGCCCTCGCCTGCCAGATTCTATTTCAGCCTGCTTTGCCCCTCCTTCCCCCCACCTTGGGATCTAGCCAGGCTAAAGTATGCTGGTCCCGATGTAAAGAACGCCAAGATCACGCAAAAGGCACAGTGCTCTAACTCATCCAGATATCCCAGGGAAGGGAGGGAGCCAGCAAGGCTAAGAGCCACCCCGTCCCTGCCCCCCCACCAGGCACTCACCTAGCCAGGTCACATCCACACTGGCTGGGGCAGACCTGGCCTCTGCCACCTTGTGCCAGCTCCTGTTGTGTCCGGGTGCCCAGAGCGCCACGTGGCAGAAATAGTAGCCGGAGTTTTCCTTGCTAACGTCTCGAACCAGTAAATGGTAGGAGCGTGCATCCACGTGACTCAGGGCCACATGAGGAGAGCTGTGCACCAGGGAATCCCGGTCCAGCCGTGCCAGCACGGGGGCGCCAGGCCAAGCGCCATCAGGCGTCCTGCTGAAGTACCATGTCACCTCGGGTCGGACGTCGTCTGCTCGGTCGGTTGTGATGTTGCAGGTCAGGTCCAACCCCTTTCCTTCAGCCACAGACACATTCCTGGCGACAGCCACTCGCAGAACTTGAAAATGAAAAAAAAAAAAACAAAAAAAACAAAAACCATCTAGATAAACAGGGTTATGTTTGCCCCTCCCTGCTTTAGATGCTCGCTATTTATTTATTTATTTATTTATTTATTTATTTATTTATTTATTTTTATTTATTTATTTTTAATGTTTATTTTGAGACCCAGAGTGCATGTGCAAGACAGGTAAGGGCAGAGAGAGGCGGGGAAGAGAGGATCCCAGCCAGACTCTGGCTGATGGCACAGAGTCCGATGTGTGGCCCGAACTCACAAACCACGAGATCATGACCGGAGCCGAAGTCGGACGCTCAACCGGCTGCGCCACCCACGTGCTCCTAGATCCTCCTCTCCTTTTATCTTCTTATTTATGGCATTAAAGTCAGAAGGCTCTGTGCAATTGTAAGTGTGTGAGAAATACTTACTGAATAAATTAAGGAACTATAACTCGTTTCTTTTCATTCCACGAAAATACTAACAGCAGCAAACACTAATACACTTACTATGTGCCAGGCACTGTTCTGAGTGCCTTGTAAATATTAACCTTCAAAACAACCCTAGGAGGTAAGTACTAGCATTGTCTCCCTTTTACTGACAAGGAAACCGAAGCACAGAGAAGTTAAGTAAGTTGCCCAAGGTCACACAGGCGACCGTTTGAAAAGAAGTCGGAACATCGCAAAACTACAATTATACTTTCACCATGTGCGTGATAAAACTTGGGTGCTTCTACAGACAGCTCAGTTCTGACTGGCTGATGTAACTAGTTTGGGACTAGGGCCTTGGGGTTGGAGGCTGGCGGGCAGGAGGTAAGGGTGGAAACATCTTCTGGGCACAACAGGAGCAAATCCTAAACAGAAGGACCAGGAAAGTGAAACCAGACAATATGCCTTTATGAGTCAAGTCTTCAAAATGCAATGTACTTACAGCATCACATATTCCGTTAGACACGCCCACCTTAAAGTCAAACATAAAGCATATATTCTGAAACTTTGCAAAACGCCATGACTTTTGAACTCTCCACACCACTGCCTTCTCGCATGAGTGTGGATGATTAAAAGTAGACTATATTTAGATGAAGCATTGAAGTATTTGGTGTCACAGTCTCTAGACAGATCTGGTTTCAGCATTCCCCTGTCAAAGCTTTTTACATGGAAACGTTTTACTTTATTCGAGCGTTGTTTGTTTTTTTTTTTTTTTTAAAGAAGTTGAACATCTGTAATCAGAGTAGAAAAACATTCAATTCGTGGTAATGCTCTGGGAACAACTGCTTAAATGAGAAATAGCTAACGCCTCCCAGGGGGTTCAAGTGCAGGCGCAGTCCTGGTCTTCCAGCAAGACTGGCTCAGCGTCAGCTATCCTGAGTCAGCTCAGTAACAAAGGCTGGTGCCTAGTTCAGAAATGGCCCAACCCCAAAGCCCAGGCCCTCTGGAGTAGATGGTTTTCACAGGAGTATTTCCAGAGCCTGACAACATTTCCGACAACCATTTCAGGCCACGTTCAAGACCCACCTTGACGAAGATGGAAAATGAAGCGGGTATATTATAAAAGAGAACTGATAAGTCGAATTTTTCACCCTCCAAATTGTGCCTCCTCCTTCACCTCTTGAAAGGGGCCAAAAGTAATTTGAGGGCATCTTTTGAGAGGAGTCAGTATGGAAACTTCTGCTCTGAGTCTGTGCTGTGGTGAACAGCCCCATATATGATGCCTGTGGTCAGAGACCCTGGAATGCTGCTAGCATCCCTCTGTGTGGCTGGAGGCAGAAGGAGGCTCAGGAGAGAGACACGTGAGGGAAGTAGGGGTAAATACACAGCTGTAGACTGCACATATGGAGAAAACGGATTCTTAGCTTTAGGAATATCGGCAGAAACGGCTCTTCAACTGAATAGTTCACTTTGTAATTTTCTCTCCGCAAGTTGCGAAATAGCTTGTCACATCACTAACCATTGTTCCCGTATGTTCTGGACTGGGGGGTGGGGGTGGGGGGGGGCTGGTTCACAGCTGGGAGACAGGAAAGTGCAGGCGAAAGAAAAAGGAGAATCATTTCTAAGGACTCGTAATGCAAGGGGATACCTCAGACAAAGCCTGTGGTGGTGAAGCTTTCTCGGGCTGGACAGAACTGAACCCATAAATCAGACACCAAGATGTGCACGAACCAGACCACTCCCAACATGGTGGGGAGGCGGGCATTGCCACACATATTACACAGCCCCACTGTTTAAGTGGCTTTGGGCTGTTTATCATAACAATGCAATAAGAATATTTAAGAAGGTAATTCTGGAGAGTGCAGGTGTTCACAAAAGAGAAAGGCCAGCACTCCAGTGTGGTGGCTCTCAACCTGGAGTCCAAGAAGACAGTTTAGAAACTCTGTGACATGGATGGGAAAAAAATCTTGCCTTTGTGCACATGTGTGATCTCTCTCTTGCTCTCAAAAAAAAAAAAAAAAAAAAAGAGGCCACAGATATTTTCAAATGACGTTGTAATTGTTGCACGTATCTTAAAATATCATTTGCATCCATTGCTACTTGGAAACTACAGCAGTTACTAAGCCTGCCAACTACAGATTACTTAATGAATGAATAAAGCACAATATTACTACATAACAAATTTGTCTTAAAATATTTTGATAACTATTTTAATGTAATTGTTTTCCTTTGTCACCTCAAATATGCGTTTTAGAAGTTAAAACACGTTAATTCTGGGGCGCCTGGGTGGCGCAGTCGGTTAAGCGTCCGACTTCAGCCGGGTCACGGTCTCACGGTCCGTGAGTTCGAGCCCCGCGTCAGGCTCTGGGCTGATGGCTCGGAGCCTGGAGCCTGTTTCCGATTCTGTGTCTCCCTCTCTCTCTGCCCCGCCCCCGTTCATGCTCTGTCTCTCTCTGTCCCAAAAATAAATAAAAACGTTGAAAAAAAAAATTTAAAACACGTTAATTCTGAGAAAGCATCTGTGGACTGTCAAAAGACCATCAAAGCGGCCCATGGCACAAAATGGTTACGAACCCCAGGCTCAGGTGAGAGTCAGAGGCTAGTACATCCAGGCTCAGAGTTTTCAAGTCTTATACTAGCTATCATGGGTTCTGTGGCTTGTTTGAAATAACAAATACCTTTACAATTGAGATTCCTGCACAAAAAGGTAACTTGTTGCAAAGCTGAAACTCTTAATCCTCTGCCCTGTGAGAACAGTTGCCTGATACAAGCTGAACATCCCAGCTTCTTAGGGCAGATTCCAGGCAGATCACATCCTCAAAGGAAGGTGACCTGAGTCCATTTAGAAAGTGATTTCTGCGGCCAGTGGAACCAAGACTGACCGCGATGGGTAGCATCCTTCCTCGGCAAGAGCACCTCCCGCCTCACCTCACTAATGGCTGCGGTCACTCAGGAACCTCACTCAGGAACCTGCTTTTTTACCAAACTCAATTCCTGGGCAGTGGTATAAATGCAGAGCAAAATGCTCAGGACCATGCAGTCTGCAGAGGAAAAATACTCCCCGTGTGCACGGTTTCCTGTTTTCCTTCCCGTCTGAGTTACAGAGTGGCCACACATTCACACTTTACACTGAGGAAATGAGTCTGTCTTCCCACCGTACAAAGCAGGGGGCGGCAGCAACAGATGTGAACGTTAGATTCCCAGAAAACCAAGGACAGCCATCCATCCACAGCAAGGACCGCATCTTGAGATGGTCTCTTTACGCTGTCTTTGTCAGAGCTGGAGGTTCTACGGTGCCTGGAAACGTTCCTCAAACCCCTCTGACCCCAGGGCCCAGACAGGGCTGACCGCCTGGTAGGTTCTCCATTAATGCCTGTTGGATACTGAGTCAACAACAGCTTGTTTTTCTCTCTTACCTGTCTTTTCATGGCTTTTCCTAAATGTCTCTTGTATTTTCTTACTTCTCCAGTAGGAATAGGAAAGGGTTGGCTTTTTTTTTTTTTTTTTTTTTTTTTTAAACAAAGTCTACTTCACAGATGAGAGGACGCAGAACTTCTTGCACGGAGACCCCAGGGCCAGATGCTTGCTCCTGGGGTGTGTGTCATACATGGAATGAGAAGAGGCCCGGCCCTAGAGAAGTCTCACCTAGCAGGGCACGGCCCATCTGAGGGGACCCAGAGGACCCAAGATAGACGAGAGGTCTGCGCATGAGACAGACACACATCCCCACCAGCTGTGCAGAATGGAGGATTCAGAAATTCAGGAAACACCCGAGCAAGATAAAGCCAAAACACAATAAAGGGAGCAGGGTGGGGACAGCTCGGCCCCAAAGCCCCTCGGAACACCAGGTCGGACCTCACTCTGACACTAAAGGGACTTAAGCTTTCAGTCAACAAACTGTCTTAGTATCTTCTGCAACCTGCAGTGTCCCCTGAGTATGAATCCAGACGGGAAGCAGCTGTAAAGCCACACTACAGGCACACGGCACAACACCAACGCGCCTTTCCCCAACTGTCACCACCACCTACTCCCCCATCCCCTCAAAGCCAGGCCGCAGGTGACCTGTCAGCAAAGGACAGGGCTCCCTCCTGCCTGTTTCTTTCCCCGGCACCGGCCAGAACACAGGCCAGGGTGCCAACCGGGTAAGTCCCAGGAGCTCACCTGTCGGCTGGATCAGCACGGTGGCCACGTCCACGGCTTTCTCCTGAATCTCCTGCCAGCTGCCCTGCTCTCCGATCCACTCGCTGACCACGCACCTGTAGGAGCCCTGGTCGGCGGCCAGGGCGCGGGCCACGGACAGGCGGTAGCCGTCGGCGCCCACGGTGTCCAGGCGCACGTCTCCCACGCGGTAGCGCTGCTCGTAGCCGGGCCCCGGGCGGAAGCGGCCCTCGTGGGTCAGGGCCAGCACGCTCCGCCGGGCCGTGCCCCGCTGCAGCTCCCACAGCAGCGCCAGGTGCGTGTGCAGCGGCGACGCCGTGGAGGCCGAGCAGCGCAGCTCGAACGGCTCGCCCAGGCGCAGGCTCAGGCCCGGCTCGGGCGGCGCAACGGCACCCACCTGCAGGGCGTCGGCCAACACTGCGGGAGGAAGGAGAGGCGTCAGCCGCGTCGCGCCCCCCGCCCCTGCAGGCACCAGCCCCTTCTGGGGCTTTCTGGCCCCAGGGGGAGCGGCCCTGCGCCCCTGCCCTGTTTAATGCCCACGTGGGAACACTCCCCATTTTAATTTGTGCTTAAGGCAAAAAAAAAAAAAAAAAGAAAAAGAAAAAAAAGGAAAAAAGAAAAAATGAAAAGAAAAGAAAAAAGAAAAAATAAGAGGTACTAAGAAGACATTCCCCCCCGCCCCCCTCCCCCCCCTTCAGCTGGATGGAAAACACTCCCTTTTGGGAGTTGTGCCCTGGGGATGCGTTTCTGCCACCCTTGAACAAGTTGCTTTACTACCCTGTGCCTCAGTTTCCTCATCTCTAAACAGGGATGACAACTGGGCCCATCTCAGGGGGTTGAGGGAGTTGAAGGAGTGATAAGGGAAGGTGCCTGGCACTCGGCAAAGCTGGAAGATAACTAGCTGTTACTGTCAAACGCTCCTCTGTTCGGGCACAGGGCTGCAATAGGGAGCCTGGAGAATCTCCTGGCAGATAAAGCAGCATGATGGGAAGACGGCAAAAGCATGGCATGAGCTGCCTGTGCCCTGAGGCCCAGGAAATGCCTAAGAATAACTAGGATGAGCAGAAAGTTTCTGCAGGATAGGAACCCTTTAAGGAAACCTGAAGCCTCAGCTATTTACTCTATTAGGGCCATTTGGAAAAAGGCTGCCTCTTTACAGAGTCTAGAATAAGGGGCCAGAAATCAAGAAAGTGTTGGTGAGTGCACGTTAGGAAGGGAAGTGATAAGCGAGGTAACCAGAAAAGTGGCCTTCTACCAGGGGGCAAGGACAATCTCCCAGGCTGGTCTACAAGCTGGATAAAAGAATCCTCAAACACCCCTATTCATGATCTCTTCCGTTTTTCTCAACATTCCACACCGAGAAAGGAATTCAGCGTCCTTAAGACAAAACTACATCTTTAGAAAGACCTATCCTAAAGACCATCTCTACTGCACAATGAATGACCTTCTAGTATATACATCGGTCTGTGAGTCTGGTTCACATGACTCAGTTCCCGTGGCCAGTTATCTGTTAGCACACAGCCACAAAGCCGAGGGCCACACAGACCCTGGACCGTGCCAGGCGGGCACCGGAGGCGCCACCTGGGCAGCCAGCCAGTCTCTTCTGTGACCGTTTATCTATCTCCTTTCCTCACCCAAGGAAAGCCTCTCCTTGCTTCTTCCTTCCAAAGACTGGAGAAGAAACAGGAAACCACTGGGGGAAAAGGGTAGGGGAAATTCTCCGGCTGCCCCCTACTCCTCAACATGAGAATTACAGGGGACATAAGTGTGCATCTGACCTAATAGAGGTAGGGCGTGTGTGTGACTAAAAGCAACACATTATTGAACTGCAATCAAGAATGTCTCATGGGACTTTTTTCTAAAAAACATCTTTAGGATTTTCTGTTAGAATAAGGAAGAGGTGACGGAAGAGGCAGATTTGATGTGTCAATACCTACATAATGCATGTGGCTGTTTGATTCCCTCATGATGGTTGAATGGGGTGGGGGGCGGGGGAACAGCGGCTGAGACATGGCAGAGTTCTGCGCATGATTACAGAGGGAACAGATACTTGGGTCTGCCCCCTTTTTTTAGATCATCGTGTACATCTTCTACTTGCCCAATCGTTACCTACAGTCCCTGCTCTAATATAAATGCTTCATGGCGGGGCGCCTGGGTTGCTCAGTCAGTTCAGCGTCCGACTGGGGCTCAGGTCAGGATCTCACGGTTCATCAATTTGAGCCCCTCATCGGTCTCCCTGCTGTCAGCCGGCTTTGCATCCTGTGTGCCCCTCTCTCTCTCTGCCCCTCCTCTGCTCGTGCACTCTCGCGCTCTCTCTCTCAAAAATAAACAAACTTAAAAAAATACATACATAAATACTTTTTTGGAACAAGGCAGGTACGAATAAATGCATAATTAAGTAATAACAATAATAATGTTTCTATTTTGCTGGCCCCAAATGAAAATAGTTTGCTCTTGCTTATTTACTAATTAGCTGAGAGAATTTTAGGCAAGTAATTAACCTATGCTCTTCCACTTCCTCATGTGTAAATTAGGCAAATATCCTGCCTGGTCTTCTTCATTGGGTTCAGAGAATCAAAGGTGGGAATAAATCTAATAGGACTTGGGAAACAGAAAACAAGCAAACAAACCAAACCGCACCCCAAACATTCCAGGTACATAAGGTATGATTCTCCGCAGAGAGGCCAGTAAGATAGCAGGGTCCGTTGGAAGCTAGCAGTGACCACGTCGTCCTGTCTCTACAGAGAACCCACACAAATTCTAGAGTGGGCACTGAGATCATGAAGGGCACGAAGAAGGGCATAAGCTTGGAAGTATGTGATAGTCTCATGAGAGTGAACGTTATCATGACCGTCACCTTCTCACTGCAAATCTGCTAATCACCTTGTGCTCGGAGCCTTTAAGGGGAGCACCGTTTCACAGAGAAGTGGAGCCATGTAGCATGCCCACGGCCACATGGCTGTCCAGCCAGTCATTGGAGCGAGTGCGGGCAGCTTGGCCCAGACCTGGGCCCTGCCACCACGCCAGCCAAGGATGGGTCAGAATCACAGCGAAGAGAAAGGACCCTCCCAGGCGACCCCGCCTACCCTCTGCTGTTAAGCAGGTAAGGTGCTTCTTTCTGTCCATTGGACGGAGGGAGCAGAGCCCCAGAGGAGTCTCCTTTCTTGGCAAAGTCACCCCCAGCCGAGTGGCAGGGGAAGGTCTAGCCCCTGATGCGATGCCCCCCCCCCCCCTCCCGAGAGGCTATACCTTTAACCTGCACTATATCCTCATAGTTGCCCTGGACGGTGGCGTCGGTGCTGGGGGTGGAACACTTGTAGTGGCCCTGGTCCGAGGGCTGGACATTCTTGATGTGGAGCTCCACGCCATCGTTGGCGGTCCGCCGCAGCAGGATCTCACCCCTCTGCAGGCGCTCCCGGTACGGCTGGGCCGGGAAGCCCGCCTCCCAGGTGCTGGCCAGCTCCACGAAGCTGCTGCCCGAAGACGAGAAGCTCCAGTCGAAGTTCTGCTCGCTGGGGCCGTCATAGTCACTCACGTTGCAGGGGATGACCAGCTCGGTGCCCACCACCCGCACCAGGCTCCCCGAGGGGACTCTCACCACACGCCCTCGACACAGAGCTGCAATGACAAGAGAGGACAGGCAGGCGTTGAGTCGTGGAAGGTCATCCCAGGATAAATGGGTCAAAACCCCGTTGGGTGTTCCTGCTCACAGGCTTGTGGCAAAAATGTGACATGTGGCCAGCTGGGAAAAATGAGGCGCTGCCTCAATCTGAGAAGGTTAAGCCCATCCCTAGAACCCCGAGCCAGGAATACAACCCTCAAGTGCGTGCCTCTCACACAACAGTTTCCTAGGATTGGCGGGGAAGAAGACAAGTATTAAAAGTAGGCTAACCGTAAACCTGAATGGCTTCTTCCCTCCCGTTACTATTTAACATACCATTGTCACTCAGCGTGATGCAGAAATATTTTAGGGTTGGTGCGAAAGAAAAGGACACAGCTAATCAAGTATTTACATTTCTGCCCACCCTGGATCAACCCTCATCCCTGGAGACCATTCCCTAGGGCTCCTGAGACCTGATTTACACTGATGGATGCCAATCCCGAAACCCGAGAGCAGCCTGCTGATAAAAAGATTTAACTCCGGTTATCTGACACTGCCTATAAATTAATATTAAAATATGACGACTCCACCAAGTATTAATTTTCTATTTTCTGGCTCATTTCCTTCTCTCTACTCTTCACCCTGATCTAAATTCAGAATGAGGATAGGGAAACACAAAGGGAGACAGCGCCTTGTCTGGCTGGTTGCTGGGCGTTGTTAGGAACGCGGCAGCTTGCCGAGTTCAGAGGACAAAGCCAAGAGTTTACTGGTGTTCCCTGCCCCGAGAGCACATACCTCCCAGGCCTCTGATAGGGCCCGGGGGACCGCACCTATGTGGCCTTTAAGATGTCATCTTTCCCATGAACTTGAGGGCGATTTTGTGGTACATTTATGACCTGTGTACAGCCAGGTCATAAATTCAATTGGACCAAATGAACTTGTCTGGCTCCTGCCTGATGTGCCAGTTTTATGAGCAAACTGGTACAGCACTAAGGCAAAGGGGAAGCCATGGGCTCTGATATCCAGGAGGTCTAAGTTTGGGTATTCATATACCTTGTACTAGGATGAGTGCACATTCACGAGATTTCTCGAAATTAACTCTTTTTCTTCCTTCAGTATTAACGTCAGGCATGGCTAGGTCAAAAGGAACATCACTCAAAAATCACAAGAATTAAAAAAAAATACTCCTTGTTTAAAAAAAAAAAAACTGAGCAAAATCAACACTATACTAACAATTATAATGGAAAGACAAGAGGGGCGCCTGGGTGGCTGGGTTAGGCGTCCGACTTCAGCTCAGGTCATGACCTCATGGTTTGTGAGTTCGAGGCCCGCCATCAGGCTCTGTGCGGACAGCTCGGAGCCTGGAACCTGCTTCAGATTCTGTCTGTCTCTGTCTCTCTCCCTCTGCCCCTTCCCCGCTTGCACTCTTTCTCTCTCAAAACTAAATAAACATGAAAAAAAATTTTTTTTTCAACTTTTTTTTTTTTTTAATTTTTTTATTTTTGGGACAGAGAGAGACAGAGCATGAACGGGGGAGGGGCAGAGAGAGGGAGACACAGAATTGGAAACAGGCTCCGGGCTCTGAGCCATCAGCCCAGAGCCCGACGCGGGGCTCGAACTCACGGACCGCGAGATCGTGACCTGGCTGAAGTCGGATGCTTAACCGACTGCGCCACCCAGGCGCCCCGAAAAAATTTTTTTTTAAAAAGCAAGTATGAAGTGATTAGAAGGGCTGGAAAGAACTCATGCCCAATACAAAGAAATTAGATTTTTATAAGGGAATCAGTTATGTCTTATACAGAAATCACATACAAAATTGAGTAATTTCCCTAGAAAGTTTAGTTGTAAGAACAACTACCACACCAGATTTGCCCTCAAATACACTCTGATAGGAGTATACACTCTGAAGGAAACCAAAGAGACTGACCTCTCTTAGCTCTTGCTGCCTCAACTATAAAATGGGGAAAGAAGGATTTACTGAATTTGTGAAACGGAAAATGCCTGGCTGAGAGTCTGCCGTGTAATAAGAGCTCAATAAAATGGGAACTTCTGTTACGTATTTTCAATTCTGTATCTCTATCATTTGTTAAGGGTTGAATGACGATCCCCGCCCCAACAATACCCCTATGGTGAAGACCAAGCCCACAGTATCTCAACGGGTGACCATACTTGGGAATGGGGTCACCGCAGAGGTTATCAGTTGTTATTAGACATCATCGGTTGAGGTCATACGAGAACAGAGCAGGACCCTAACCCTATGACTAGTATCCTTAAAGAGAGGGAAGCCTCTCTTTACGCACAGACGTGTATAAAGGGAAGACACCACGTGAAAATGAGGGCAGAGATGGGAGGTGAGGTGTTTACAAGCCAAGGAACACCAAAGGTTGCCCACAAACCACTGGAAGCGGGCGGGGAGGCCTGAAGAAGACTCTCCCTCATCCTCCGAAGGAATCGACCCCGCTGGCATGCGGTCTGCTAGTCTCCAGAGCTGTGAGAGAGCACCTGTCTGCTGCTGAAGCCCCCAGGTAGTGGTTCTTTGTTACAGCAGCCCGAGCAGACAGATACACCATTGTTGCTTGCTCTCCAATGATTCACTTCATGGTTTTCAAAGTCTGAGTTGCCATTCGGTGGTTGTGAAATGAATTTGTAGTGGTTGTGACCAGCATGTGTGTGCGTGTCTTAATACAACGCAACAGAAGAGGAAATATTAGAGTCCACTGCATTTAGTACGGAATAAATACTGTTGCATTCAATGTTAAGTACACAAAGGTGTGTGTGTAGCAGATGATGGTGAAAATTATATATCTTAATCTGTATTGGGGTAAAAAAAAAAAGAAAAACAAGTTGAACACTTTTTAAAGCCCATCTCTTATTTTCTGCACCCATTTACCATTTCCTTGAAGGGGGTGAAAGGAAGCATCCCTACAACAGAAATAGTGATAAGGTTAGTGTGTGCTCTATGCAGGGGGGTGTCTGTCAGCCTAGCGGGGGGCAGCTCTGGACTGCTGCCCAGTTCAAAGAAAAGATACCGCACCCTAAAACACTCTCCTTAAAAATAGAGTTATTGGTGCTAATAACTCGGAACTGCGGGTCACGTGTCTTCCTGCAGACAACAGGACTGCCATATTGTTATGGAACAGCACTCAAACATGCTGCTGCTTTCTTCCTAGGAAAACCCGGTGCTTACAGGATGTGGCCCATGACCTCACATCTACTGCTTCTGCCAAACACACAGCATATAGCCTTGCTGCTGCCCAGCATTCCTCAAGTGCTCCTCAGATCGGGCTGACTCTGGTGGAAACCGGGTCAATCAGAATCATTCTGGCTCGCTTTTGCGGAAGCCAATCAGAAACTTTCAGTTCCCTTGGAATCAGGGTACTATAGAGCTGATTTTCAAAAAGAAAGAGTCCAATGGGGGGTGGGATGGAGGGGAAAGGGGGTGATGGGCATTGAGGAGGGCACCTGTTGGGATGAGCACTGGGTGTTGTATGGAAACCAATTTGACAATAAATTTCATATTAAAAAAAAAAAAAAAGAAAGAAAGAAAGCGTCCAAGATGGTTGTGTAAGAAGATCCTGAACTCACTTCCTCCCAAGGACACATGCAATCTACAGCTATGTAGGGATCACTTCCCTTTGAAAAAGATCTGAAAACTAGATGAACTGTGTCTCCACAACAGAAGACAAAAGGACTACACTGAGATGGGTGGGAGAATTAGGAACACTGTCGCACCAAAACAACCACCCCCCCTCCCCCCACTGCAGGAACATCTCGCCAGACAGGCATTTCTCCTGGAGGAGCAAGGGGTCAGGGCCCCACATCAGACACTCCAACCCTTGGGATCCATGTTGGAGACACGAGCACCCCAAAACATCTGGCTTAGAATCCAACAGGGCTGACATCCAAAGAACCTACGGTGCCATGGGAAATGGAGATTCTTCTTTTAAAGGGATCACCTGCTTAGGGATGCCTGGGTGGCTCAGTCAGGTAAGCGTCAGACTTCGGCTCAGGTCATGATCTTGCGGTCTGTGGGTTCGGGCCCCGCGTCGGGCTCTGTGCTGACACTCAGAGCCTGGAGCCTGCTTCGGATTCTGTGTCTCCCTTTCTCTCTGCCCACCACCCCCCCCACTCCCACCCCAGCTCGTGCTCTGTCTCTCAAAAATAAACAAACATTAAAAAAAATTTTAAGGGGCGCCTGGGTGGCGCAGTTGGTTAAGCGTCCGACTTCAGCCAGGTCACAATCTCGCGGTCCGTGAGTTCGAGCCCCGCGTCAGGCTCTGGGCTGATGGCTCAGAGCCTGGAGCCTGTTTCCGATTCTGTGTCTCCCTCTCTCTCTGCCCCTCCCCCGTTCATGCTCTGTCTCTCTCTGTCCCAAAAATAAATAAACGTTGAAAAAAAAAAATTTAAGGGATTACCTGCAGTCTCACTTGCCCCAGAATCCAGTGAAAAAGCACCCATTCCAAAAGCACCCAGACTGTATGTGAAGGAGATTCATTTGCTGGTCTGGGGCATCTGCTGGAAAGACAGCTGGCGCTCTCTCCAGAGATGGGGGCACTGGCAGAGACCATTTGTAGCTCTCTACCTACCCTGCTGGTGTAGACTGGGTGCCTGGGCACAACTCAGCACCCTCCCATGGCCTCACTGGGCTGCGTAGGGGTGAGTGCTCATGGCACCGTCCTGCCGCCTTGCTGAGGCTGGAGATCTTGGGCGACTGCAACAATACCGGCTCCCTGGCAGGCATAAGCAAGCAGGAACAATCACGGCATTCTCTGCCTCCCTTGCCAAAGCTGATGAGTGCAGGTGGCAGTTGTGACGCTCCCCTACACCCTGGCTAGGGCTGGCAAGCCCTAGTGGTCATGGCATTCTCCCACCCTCAACTCGGGCCAAAGCATGCATGCAGACAGGGCACTCTCCTGCTGCACTGCTGAAGCCCACGGGCATCTTCCCACTGCCTTTCTGAAGCTGGCAGGGTACCCCACCCCTACAATCTCTAGCTGATCTGCTAAAGCCAGCAGACATGCAGAAACCACACAGGAGATACCCCCTATCTGCCTGGCCCTGGTGGCCAAGGGGGCTGGTGTTCCTGAATTCCAGGGGACTAGGACAATCAGAAAGACAATTCTTAGCAAGCCAACACCCACAGGACACTGCACAGACAGCAGACGGCAACACACTTACGGTCTTCCTGTGAAAAAAGGCCTATTTACTTATCCTGAAGCTTCAGCCTGCAGGATAACCTTCAGGTTTCCAACACATCCGGAGGCAGTGCAGGCATTCCCAGGGAACATAAGCAAAGAGACACCATCCTTGTGCACCCCACTGGCCTCACTACAGCTTGATGAGAACTTCCAATAAGATTGTACACTCTCTCAGGGCCCTAATTTTTGCAACTGTTACCCAAGGGACGCCTCCAGATCTCCTGGTCTGGAGGCCAGCAGGGTTTACAAGTGCAGTCCCACAGGACTGTATATATTTGCATGATTTAAAAACTGCTGCCTAAGGGTCTGGCTTCTACTCAGCCTGAAACGAGGTGATAAATGAGATTTGTCCCCTTGGAGCAGTGACAGATCCTGGCACACCCTCAACAACAGGGACATATCAAGAATAAATCAGGCTACTTAGACAATCACAAAGGTTTGAGAGACAACTAAGAGCTATGGCAAGGTCAAACAAGAAGGATCATTACCTACACAAGGCCACTCCTTCATGCCTGAGAGGTAGCTATTTCACCTAATACCCAAAAACTAACGGAGAGTCAAGCAAAGTAAGACAGACAAATATGTTCCAAACAAGAGAACACACACACACACACACACACACACACACACACACACACACACACACCTCAGAAGAAGACCTTAATGACATAGAGATAAATAATCTCCCTAATAAAGAAATCAGAGTAATGGTCATAAAGATGCTCACCAAACTTGGGAGAAGAATGCATGAACCCAGTGAGAATTTCAACAAAGATAAGAAAATAGAGGAAAGTACCAACCAAAAGTTACAGAGCTGAAGAATACAATAACTGAACTGAAATATACAGTAGAGGAATTCAAAGCAGACTGGATGAAGCAAAAGAATGGATCAGTGAACTGGAAGACAAAGCATTGGAAATCACTCAGAGCAGCAAGAAGAAAAAAGAATTTTAAAAGATGAAGATATGGGGTACCTGGGTGGCTCAGTCAGTTAAGCATCCAACTCTGGCTCATGGCATGATCTTGCGGTTGGTGGGTTCAAGCCCCACATGAGGCTCTGTGACACTGACAAGCTCAGAGCTGGAGCCTGCTTTGGATTCTATGTCTCTATCTCTCTGGCCCTCCCCCGCTTGTGCTCTCTCTCAAAAATAAACAAACATTATAAAATGTTTTTTTTAGATAAAAAAATAAAAAATGAAGATAACTTAAGAGATCTGTAGGACAATATTAAATGGAATAACATTCACATCATAGGGGTCCTAGAAGGAGAAGAGACAGAGAAAGGTGTGGAAAACTTAATTCAAGAAATAATAGCTGAAAACGTCCCTAACCTGAGGACAGAAATAGAAAACCAAGCCCAATAAGCACAGAGAATTCTAAATAAAATATACCCAAATATACCCAAAGAGAGCCACACCAAGACACATTATAATTAAAATGTCAAAAGTCAAAGAAAAAAAGAGAACCTTTAAAGCAGCAAGAGAAGACCAACTTGTTACATACAAGGGAAACCTCATAAAGTTATTAGCAATTTTTCAGCAGAAATTCTGCAGGCCAGAAGAGGGTGGCATGACATATTCAAAATGCTGAAAGAAAAAAACTTCTGACCAAGAATACACTACCTGGTAAGGTTATCATTCAGAATTGAAGGAGAGAGAGTTTCCCAGATAAGCAAAAGCTAAGGGAGTTCATCACACTAAGCCAGCCTTACAAGAAATATTAAAGGGACTTCTTAAAGCTGAAAAAAATGTCACTAATTAACAACGAGAAACCATGCAAAAGTAAAAAATCTCATCAGAAAAGGTAAGTATATATTAAAAGTAGTGGATTAATCACTTATAAAGCTAGCATAAAAGTTGAAAGACAAAAGTAATAAAATTAAAATTGCAATAATTAGTTAATAAATGCATAAAATAAAAAAAAGTAAAATGTGACATCAAAAACAAAATGTGAGCTGGCAGGGCGTAAAAGTGCAGAGTTTTGGAATGTGTTCACATTTAAGTTGCTATCAATCCAAATAGACTGTCATGTACATGGGACAGTATATGTGCACCTAATGGTGACCACAAAGCAAAAACTTATAGTAAATACACAAAAGAAAATGAGAAACGAATGTAACACTAAAGAAAGAAATCATACCACAAGGGAAGAGAAAAAGAGAAGAAAGGAACAGAGAGGAACTACAAAACAGCCAGAAAACAGTGAACAAAATAGCAAGAAGTACATACCTATCTTTAATTATTTTAAATGTAAATGAACTAAATTCACCAATAAAAAGACCTAGAGGGGCTGAATGCATTTTAAAAAACAAGTCTCTTCTGTATACTGCCTACAAGAGACTTACTTTAGGATACACACCGACTGAAAATGAAGGGATGGAAAAAGATATTCCATGCAAATAGAAACGAAAAGAAAGTTGGTGTAGCTATACTCATATCACACAAAATAGATGTTAAAACAAAGACTGTAATAGAAGACAAAGAGGACCACTACATAATGATAAAAGGTTCAAGCAAGCAAGAAGATACAACATTTATATATACTCATGTACCCAACATAGAAGCACCAAAATATTTAAAGCAAATATTAACAGGGGCCACTGCTCAGTCAGGAAAGCATCTGACTTCAGCTCAGGTCATGATCTCGCGCTTTTTAAGTTCAAGTCCCGTGTCGGGCTCTGTGCTGACACCTCGGAGCCTGGAGTCTGCTTGGGATTTTGTGTCTCCCTCCCTCTTCACCCCTCCCCTGCTTGCACTCTGTTTCTCTCTCTCTCCCAAAAATAAACGTTAAAAAATAATAAATAAAATAAAGTAAAATGTTAAAGCAAATATTAACAGACCTAAAGAGGGAAGTTGACAGCAATATAATAATAGTAGAGGGTTTTTAACACCCCACTTACATCAATAGATACATCATCTAGACAGAAAATCAGTAAGCATATCAGCTTTGAACAGCACATTATCAGACCAGGTGGACTTAACAGATATATACAGAACATTCCACTCAAAAGCAGCAAAATATACATTCTTCTCAAGTGCACATGGAACATTCTCCAGACAGCTGACATGTTAGGCCATGAAACAAGTCTCAATAAATTCAAGAAAACTTAAATGATATCAAGCATCTTTCCCAATCACAATGGTATGAAACTAGAAATCATCTACAAGAAGAAAACTTACTTAAAAAAAACACAAATACGTGGAGATTAAACAACTGGGACAACAAAGAAATCAAAACAGAAATTAAAAAAATACCTAGAGGAAAATGAACAAAAATACAACATACCAAAATCTATGGGATGCAGCAAAAGTGGTCCTGAGAGGGAAATATGTAACAATGCAGGCTTACCTCTAGAAACAAGAGAAATATCAAATAAATAACCTAACTTTATGTCTAAAGGAACTAGAAAAAGAAGAACCAAAGAAGCCCAAAGTTAGTGCAAGGAAAGGAATAGTAAAGATCATGAGTGGAAATTAATAAAGACTAAAAGGAAATAAAGAGAACAGGGGGAAAAAAAAATCAATGAAGCTAAGAACCTTGAGAAGATAAACAAAATTCTTTTTTTTTTTTTTTTTGGTTATTTAGGATAATTTTATTCATCTTTTTTAAGTGTTTTGCTATGTTATCTCTTTAATCTTTATTTTTTTTTATTTATATATGAAATTTATTGTCAAATTGGTTTCCATACAACACCCAGTGCTCATCCCAAAAGGTGCCCTCTTCAATACCCATCACCCACCCTCTCCTCCCTCCCACCCCCCATCAACCCTTAGTTTGTTCTCAGTTCTCAACAGTCTCTTATGCTTTGGCTCTCTCCCACTCTAACCTCTTTTTTTTTTTTTTTCCTTCCCCTCCCCCATGGGTTCCTGTTAAGTTTCTCAGGATCCACATAAGAGTGAAACCATATGGTATCTGTCTTTCTCTGTATGGCTTATTTCACTTAGCATCACACTCTCCAGTTCCATCCACGTTGCTACAAAAGGCCATATTTCATTTTTTCTCATTGCCACGTAGTATTCCATTGTGTATAAAAACCACAATTTCTTTATCCATTCATCAGTTGATGGACATTTAGGCTCTTTCCATAATTTGGCTATTGTTGAGAGTGCTGCTATGAACATTGGGGTACAAGTGCCCCTATGCATCAGTACTCCTGTGTCCCTTGGATAAATTCCTAGCAGTGCTATTGCTGGGTCATAGGGTAGGTCTATTTTAACAAAATTCTTTAACAAACAAAATTGACAAGGCTTTAGCTAGACTCACCAGGCAAAAAAGGAAAAATCAACAAAATCAGAAATAAAAGAGAAGTTGCAACTGATACCACAGAAATACAAAGGATTATGACACTACTGTGAATAAGTATATGCCAACAAATTGGACAACCTAGAAGAAATGGATAAATTCTTAGAAATATTTGATCTTCAAGAATGAATCAGGAAGAAATAGAAAATCAGAAAAGACTGATTACTAGTAAGGAGACTGAATCAGTAATCAAAAACCTCCCAACAAATAAAAGTCCAGTACCAGACGGTTTCTCCGAATTTTACCAAACATTCAAAGAAACATTGAAGAGGAGGGAATGCTTTCAAATTCATTTTATGAAGCCAACATTCCTCTGATACCAAAACCACATAGCACCACCATAAAAAAAAAAAAAAAAAATTACAGGCCAATATGCCTGATGAACACAGATGCAAAAATCTTCAATAAAACATTAGCAAACAAAATTGAACAATGCATTAA